AATGGCTCAGCTTCGATCCACTTCGTGAAGTAGTCTACTGCCACGATAAGGTACTTCCTTTTTCCCGAAGCTTTGGGAAAAGGTCCTACTAGGTCCATTCCCCATTGGGCAAAGGGCCAGGGACTGACGTTTCCTTGCATTGCCGTAGCTGGGAGGTGATGTTCTTTGGCATGGGTCTGGCATGCATGACATGCCATAGTGAGTTGCTTCGCATCATTTCTCATGGTTGGCCAGTAGTACCCTTGTAATTTAAGCGTTCTTTCCAAGCTTCTCGGCCCTCCATGTCCACCACACACACCCTCGTGAATCTCACGGAGAGCCCACTTCGCCTCAGCCTTTCCTAGACACCTAAGGTATACTCCTTCGTACGACCGTCGGTGTAGCTCCGAGCCGATGACGGTACAACGCGCCGCTCTCCTTCTTACTACCGTAGCTTCTTTTGGATCTGTTGGAAGGGTATCATTCATGAGGTATTCAACGATTGGCACTCTCCAATCCTGCTCTTCCTGACCGACATTAACACTATTCACCCCCATTCCTGGGGTGATTGGGCTTTCCTTCTCGACAATCACATGTCGCTCCTCCTCAAAGTCAACGGCGGTAGCTAGCTTGGAAAGCGCATCTGCATGCGCGTTATCCCCTCGTGCTATATGGGATAGTTTCCAATCCTCGAAAACTTGTGCTCTCTTCTTTGCCTCTTCCACATAGCGCAGCAAACAATCTTCTTTGACTTCAAATTCTCCCAACACCTGTCGAACCACCAGTGCGGAGTCAGAAAAAATATCTAGGCGCCTCGCCCCTAACTCCTCCGCAATGCGCATGCCGTTGATTAGTGCTTCGTATTCGGCCGCGTTGTTGGTCTTGAGTGTCGAGAATCGCAAGGCTACTTCGTGTGTGACACCCCCGGTGTTTCCAAGACTATGCCGGCGCCTGCACCTGTCTTACTTGCCGCTCCATCAACGAACAGCTTCCACCTCCCTTCATCGGTTCCTGTAGGCTCGATCGTACCCTCTGCTACGAAATCTGCCAGGATTTGGGCTTTGATGGAAGGGCGAGGAGCGTATTGTATGTCAAATTCACTTAGCTCAACTGCCCATTTGGTTAGGCGCCCTGAAGCACTTGTACTATGCATAATTCTTTTCATTGGCAGGTTGGTCAGTACGGTGACCGTGTGTCCTTGAAAATAAGGTCTCAGTTTTTGGGCGGCAGTTACCAATGCCAGGGCTGCCTTCTCAATGATTGGGTACCTCCTTTCGGTTGGTAGGAGCGTTTTGCTGATGTAATACACTGGCTGGTCTGCAAGAGTTTCAGAGTGACGCCTGATGAGCACCGCACTGATAGCTACGTCTGATATGGCAATGTAGAGGAACAAACGCTCCCCCTCCTGTGGAGCCACAAGGATAGGAGGATTCACCAGCAACGTTTTCATCTCCTCGAATGCTTTCTCACATTCTTCCGTCCATTTGAACTTGGATTTTTTCTTTAGAGAATTGAAGAGGGGAGCGCACCTATCCGCTGATCTCGGAATGAATCTATTGAGCGCGGCGAGTTTACCTGCTAATCCCTGAACTTCTTTTACTGTTCTTGGCGATTTGAGTTCGGCAATTGCCTTTATCTGCTTCGGATTGGCCTCAATACCGCGGCGAGTGATCATGAAGCCTAAGAATTGACCCGCACCTGCCCCGAACACGCACTTGAGGGGGTTAAGCTTCAGATTGTGACGCCTTAGGTTCTCAAATGTCTCCCTTAAGTCGTTCAGGTGATCACCCTCTTTCTTACTTTTGATTAACACATCATCCACGTATGCTTCCACATTTCGTCCTATCTGTCCTCCAAAGACCTTGTCCACCATTCTCTGATAGGTAGCGCCTGCATTCTTTAAGCCAAATGGCATCACTATATAGCAATAGTTCCCGTATGGGGTCATGAAAGCTGTTTTTTCTTGATCCTCTTCGCTGAGGGGGATCTGGTGGTACCCTGAAAACATGTCAAGAAAGCTTAACATCTCATGATTTGAGGTGGCATCGACTAGCTGGTCAATCCTTGGCAGTGGATATGGGTCCTTCGGGCACGCCTTGTTCAGCGAGGTGAAGTCGATGCACATTCGCCATGTCCCATTGTGCTTCTTGACCAATACTGTGTTTGCCAACCATTTCGGGTATTGCACTTCTCTAATAAAACCTGCCTTAAGCAGCTTCTGTACCTCTTCCATCATGGCCACCCTCCTTGCCAACGATGCTCCCCTCCTTTTTTGTTGTACTGGTACGCTATCTGGTTTGACGGAGAGCTTGTGTTCCATAAGATCCCTAGAGACACCTGGCATGTCTTCGGGGCTCCAAGCAAACAGATCAGCGTACTCCCTCAGCAAGTTGACCATTGGGAGACGCATGTGCTCCGGTAGATGGGCGGAGAGTCGGACAACCCGGCTCGGGTCGTCAGGGTCTAGTGGTAGTTCTATCTCTGAATCAACTGCCCCAGGGCGCGGTACTTCCGTCGGCCTAGCATCGATCGTATGTATTTTTGGCTTGTGAATGGTCGCCGCATAGCACGCTTTTGCTGTCTTTGCGTCTCCCCTGGCTATCCCCATTCCTTGGGGCGTTTGGAATTTCATCGCCTGGTGGCAGGTTGATGCTACAGCTCCAAACCGAGCTAGGAAGGGCCTCCCTAGGATGGCATTATATGCGGATGGGCAGTCGGCAATGTGGAAGTCCACTGGGTGCGTGGCACTTGGTTCTTCGTCTCCCACCTTGACTCTTAAACGCGCAGTCTCCAGTACCTTCACCTTTGCTCCAGAAAAACCGACAAGTTGGGCTTCTGAGGCTTTCATGACCTCAGGAGGTGCTTGCATTTGGCGCCAGCAGGAATAGAACAGTATGTCGGCGGAGCTCCCACTATCTACCAGTACTCGGAACACCTTGTACCCTTCTACCTGTATGTTGATGACAAGGGGATTTTCAGACGGGCCCTCCGGGGGATAATCTTGTGACGTAAATGACAAGTCGGGACCCTCTTGCTTTGCGATCTTCATACACCATGTGTTACTTGCTTGCCCCTTGCGCTTCTTCCTTCGGTCGGGCTCCCCTCCTGCGATGGTTCTTATCTCTTTAACGTTTGAGTTAGGTCCCAGGCGCTCCTGTACTGGCGGTCTTGCGGCTGGAGAGCGACTGCGCTCCCGTGGAGACCGATTTCCTTGTTCTGCTTTCTGGAACATTTCTCTTACTCCTCCCCGATCAGAGATTATCTTAAGTGCTTTTTTGAAATAGTGGCAATCAACGGTGTTATGGGTGCGAGAGTTGTGATACTCGCAGTACATATCTGCCTGACCTCGAGGTTGGTTTGCATTCTCGCGGTTGGTTCGGTCTCGGCGAGGTTCTTGTGAATTTGCAAGAACGTCCCTTCTTACCCAGACATTGGGACGTCGGGCATCATCCCGTCGATCTGGACTCCTCCTTCTGGTTCTAGGCGCCTCACCTCTCCCATTCTGAGCTGGGCGCCTGGACCCACTTCCTTGCTCCTCTTCCTTTGCCCCTAGCGCCTCCTCCATGAGGATTGCTTTTTGAATCTTTTCTTCTAACTCAGCTACCTGTCGTATTTCTCGTTTGGCTAGGGAGCGCCTTAGTTCTTCATTAGTACTTGCATCCATTAAATTGGTGCGCATGAGTGGAGGGGTTAAGTCTTTGACGTCGGCCGCGACTTCCCACCATCGCCCCATGAAGTGCCTGAGGCTCTCCCCCTTCCTTTGTTTAAGATTGACAAGCGCACGAACCGTCAGCGTTTGTTTCTTTTGGCTTGCATACTTTGTTGTAAATAACAAAGCAAATTGGGAAAAACTCTGAATGATGCCCTCTGGGAGTGAGGAGTACCAACTACTGCATCCCCCGGTGAAGGTTGAGGGGAACGCCTTGCACAAAGCAGCGTCGGACGCATTGAGGAGTTGCATCTTGCGACAGAACGTACTTAGGTGATCTTCTGGGTCAGATTTTCCGTCGTATGAGGGTAGGCCGATGCTTGCGAAGTTTGATGGAATTGGTGTTTCGAGTACCCCCTTTGACAACGGCTGCTTAATAATTTGGGCGCTCCTATCTTCCGAGGCGCCGTAGTTAAGCCGAGCGTACTTCTCCATGTAGATGTCAGTGTCAGCTTCCATTGCGTCTTCATTTGGCAAGGCGCCCACACCCTCCCGTGGGGAGTTCGTGGGTGCCGCCTCAACCTCCTGCATTTTCCCTCGGAGGCGCCTCCTCTCTTCTATGGCTTCTTGGGGGTTCGGAGGCGCCTGGTCGTTGACCTTTGTTAGCGCCGATAACGCGGTCATGACTTGGTCTAGTTGGCCTTGCATGCTTGCCATTTGAAGCGCTTGCTTTTTCCGAAGCTCCGCTAGTTGCTCCTCTAGGCGCTCGGCGCCTTTTCCGTCTCCTGGTGGGTCGTCGTCATCGGACACTTCTAAGCCTTGGATGGTGAGCGGTTGGGGGTTGATTGCCTCGCGCCCAACCACTTGCTTGAGAGGGGTCTTTGTTGGTACCGGACTCCTTTCTTCTCCCTTCTTTGAGTTGGAAGCGTCTTTCAAAGTCATGCTTGGCCCCAAGGTGGGCGCCAATTGTTTGAGCCCGGGCGACTGGGCGTCACTCGGGTCCAAGGGGTTTGGGGTGTCAGCCATGACCTTGAAAGGGTAGGCGCCCCGCCTCGTCCGAAATAAGAGAAGAAAAGAAGTGTATAGAGAGAGAAAGTAGAGAGAAGTAGTAGTAAGTGTAGATGGATTATCATTTATGAGGAGAGAACTCCTATTTATACACACTTGAGGGGTAGGTAGTGGTCTGGGCGCCTGCCAAGCCATAAATGCTCTGGTCGGGCGCCTCAGACTCTCTGACACTGTTCATAGTCCTTTTGGCAGAGGGTGTCCCCCTGCCCCTTGTCCTTGCTGATGTAAGGTGCCTGGGTTTGTCTCTTGTCCCCCAGCCTTGTCTTTTTCCTCTTGTCTTCTTTCCTTCTCCATGTCATTAGCCATGGTATTAATCCCTTGATTACTATGATACCCTATCAATTAGTTTGTTGCCGTTCCTGCCATGCTGCTGACAAAGGCTCCGATCACTTTGAAGCTTGCAATGCCAGAGCTGTATTGATGAAGTAGTTACTGGGTTACGAACATTAGGACTAAAGATTTCCGCTAATCTGTTCTTCAGGTGTCTCTACTTCTTCTTCTTCAACAGCCCTAACAACTCCCAGCTCGACGACCACAACTGCCCCTACACAATTGGCTCTTGTGCCCTCCAGCAGTGGGTTCGTGCAGCTTGATGGACAACCTTTCTTTACCAGATCGAAGTGGCAAACGCGTGGTCGAGACTCAAGCTAGTTTGGAAAGAGAATTAGAGTTAATTGTGAGACTCATCAGCAAGAGGTATTTTCATCATTGCTAGTCACATACTGCACTATTTTCTGCAATGTTGATAATAATGATTTCTGTGATTTAAGTATAGAATTCCCTTCCGGTGCCATAATTTGTGGTTCTACATACATGTGAATTCTATGAAAGGAAGAGTGTTGGCCGCGAGACAGACTGCGAGACAGATACATTCCATTCCGTTCGATTTTAGAACTGAAAGTTGAGCCATACTGGTACAAAGATATCAGACTGGAGGACTAAGTAATCACAATTGGCCGGTAATCGGCATTGTGGCGTTTGCCTTTGCAACAACAGTTGGCCTGTTTTGAACTACAAGTTTCTACCAACAATGCACCCCTTGTGCCCTTGCAACAACTACGATCAAGAGGGTGACAACAGCGAGCAGCAATGGTAACCCAATTCTCTGATCAGTGAGCAGCTGATCTGCCGAGTGTGGCGTCCCGCCATCGTAGCTTCCCTTCTCCAAAGGGTGAGTCAGAACGTGCATTAGGCATTGCCATTTGTGGATGAGATCCGTAATCCTGGAAGCAATGTCCATTATCCACCTCACCAAATGCTGCGCCTCTTCCAACTCAGTTGCAGCTGCTTCCTTTTCGCAGCTTCGGAGCCTAAAGCTTTCAACTGCCATGCCACCCACTGAATGAAATAAATTCCTCTGGCAAAAAACAGCAACATTTTTTTCTGGGTTTTCCTTTTCCAAGGGTGAAACTGAATCTACTTACCTGCAGCTGCGGGTCGGTGGTCTCGCAGTCTGTGAACCATATCGTTCTTCTTAACAGCATCCCACACAGCCTTATCGGTTGCTAGAGCGGCCACCAGTTTCTGAGACACCCAACAAAAATGGTAAAATTACAACTTGAGAAAAAAAGAAAATTGTGGTTGGGTGAATCGAACCCAGAAAAGAAGAACACAAAATAAATTAGATAACCTGAATGGCTGGATCGGATTGCAGCAACTGGAAAGCTTCCTCAACTCTGGTGTGTCCATTAGATGATGATGCCCTCTGCTGTTTCAGTTGCGACATCTGACTCATGAAACTGTTTGACAAATTGTAGCGCGTTCTTGAGATTTTGAATCCGAAGTTGAGCATCGCAAATAAGAGAGAGTAGGAAGATATATCTACATCAATGGGAACAGCTGGCTTGGCTTGAATTTACTTACTCCTGAAGGGAGGCTATGGCGGATTCAACTTCTAGATGGGAAGGAACAGGTCCCAAGACAGCATCCATCGAAGGCCCAGAAGCAGGGGAAGAATTGTTGTCAGCTGATGAGTTGGGAAAGTCAACTCTCGAAGTGCTTCCTTGAACCAGAGGGAGGTTAGTGCTATGGCGAGGGTGACGATCCATGGCTCTTCTTCTTCCGCGAGGTTTCTGCTGCCTCGCCCTCACTCTCTCCGAGCTTCTTCAATCAAATCCAGTGGAGTTCAGTAGCGCTGCAGTTAACTATTTAGAAATGGGTAAAGTTACCATTAGCCAACTAGAATATAAACAAAAAGGGAATATGGACTATAGGTCGGGTTACCCAGAAGTTTGACAACTTAGGGAAGAAGTAGAGAGAAAAGAGATTAAGGAATTGTGGGAAATTTGCTCATATTATATACCGTAAAAATTCAATAGCTAGCTAACAAATATGAAACGGTGCGTTGCAAGCCTCTGGCCTTCTTTCTCAGCATTCTGGCCTTAATCGAACTTCTTCATTTTTCCTTGGGTAAATACAATTTAATATCCAAACTTTTCATTTTAAACAATATAATAGCCAAACCTTTTCGAAAACAATCTAATATCCAAATCATCAACTTTCCGTCCGTTTGACCGTTGGTTGACACTTCAAAAAAGTTTTGTTTAGGGGAAATTGTCACAATACAACTTTGTTTTCTTGTTTTGGCATTGCAGATGACTGAATATTTAGATATTCTATACCATCATGGTGGAATCATGGACTTCTCGGGTTTGGAACCACGATATGTTGCTGGTTTTTCAGAGAAGATATCGATGGATATTGATGAAGCGTCATACTTCGAACTTTTTTGAAGTGTCAACTAATGGTCAAACGAACGGAAAGTTGACGATTTGGATATTAGATTGTTTTCCAAAAGGTTTGGCTATTATATTGTTTAAAATGAAAGGTTTGGATATTAAATTGTATTTACCCTTTTTCCTTCGATATCACTTGTTGGGGTTAATTACTTAGGATGTCACTTAACTTCACTATTTGTTGCACGATAACCAACTAAGTAAGTTCTGTTGCAACTAAACTACTTATATTTAATTCCGGTAGCACTCTTATCATTTCCATCTCCATTGCTAACGGCATGTGCTAAAATGTAAATAACCACGCCAACTCAGCTACAGACTCTCTTGTGGGCCACCAAATTCGATGGGCGCACTAAATCCAAAGTTTCCTTTTACGCAAGGGACACTTCTCATTCTCGGAACCATTCTCCGACAGCCGAACCGTCACCACCGTTCCCTGCAGAAAACAAAAACAATCGTCAAGGAGATTATACGAGCAAGACGATGATTGCGCGAAGAAGGAAGGAAAGCTTGCTGCAAAAAAACATCGGTATTTATTTCACCCTGTTGCTGCTCTACTCTGTTTCTTCATTCCATTAAGAAAGGAGTCGCGAAGAAGGAAGGAAAGCAGATTATGGTTCCTCATCTACTTCTTTCCTTCTTATTGATAGGGATTTTAAAGGAGCAACGAAGATAGCTTGTTCATGAAATGATGGAAAAATAGGTGAGTGACTTCTCGTTTCTTTGAGTGCTCTGTTTTGGTGTTTGTTTTCCTTCTTTGCTGTTGGTTGATCAATGGGCGAAAATGTAGGGCACTCCACTTCAAGCACCGGATCTCTTATTGTTTGAGTTTGAAGAGTCTGAAAGGAAGCGATAGAACAAGGATCCCTTTGGCGAGAATGAATGAAGGAATAGCAACCAAGAAATTAAGGAAAAGAGCCTGAAATGGAAGTGCAATTATCTAGACATAGGACAGATGAAGCAGAAGAAGGAAAGGATTGAAAAATAAGATTTTCTCTGGTTTGATAATAGGGATTAGGGAAGGTTTGGGTGTGGAAAGGAAAGAGAAGGAGGAAAGGGTCGATGGGTTTTTTTGGGAGGAGGGATGAGTCCATTTATTGGACTTAAATGGGTTGAGGTAAATATGAGATAGGTGAGTCTGCAGCTGACGTGGCAGCTGAGTTGGCGTGGTTATTTATGTTTTAGCACCTGCTATTAGCGATGGAGACGAAAATGGTAACAGTGCTACCAGAATTAGGTATAAGTGGTTTAGTTGCAACAAATAACAAAACTTATTTAGGTGGTTATCGTGCAAAAAATGGTGAAGTTAAGTGGCATCCTGTGCAATTAACCCTCACTAGTGGCAACCGATCTTCCAAGAGCATGTTATGCACTATCATCTTCTTCATCATACATGCTCCTTTTCATTCTCCCACAAGATGACGAGTATAGATTGTATACACCGAGCTTTGGACAATAACATGGTAAAACGATCAATAGACAAACTCTTTGTGAATATGTTTGTCAGTTGAAGTTTTGTGAGTGTGTAACGCAATGTGATCAAACTTGATTGAACCCTTTCCTTTATGACGTGACAGTTGACTTCAATATCTTTGTCCTCTCGTGAAAAATTGGATTTTCTGCAATAAGAATTGCATACTTGTTGTCACAATAAATCATAACAGGTTGCTGATGATCTATACCAAAATATGAAAGTAAGGCAACCAACCACTGTACTTGACAACTCAAACTTGCCAATGCTCTATATTATTGACTCGACTCTTACTACATATCCCAATCGATGGCCAAGTATAACAAAAAAAAGGGTGTAGCATAGGGTAAGCAAGTAATAAAATTTATCGTACCACAGGGATCTAGGCTTACCTTACTTGGGGTTTGGGGTTCGTTATCTAGCCACCCTAGAATAGTGATTAGGAAAACTAAACTAACTAACCTAGCTAACTACTAACCTAGCTAATTACAAGGGGTGGGGCTCTCTTAGCTTGAATCCCCCTAGTTCCATCATTTGGATCGATGTTGACTACTATCCTAACTTGATCGATTCACTACCCTACCTTTATGAGATCTACTCACTCGGGATTGGCCCGAAAAAGCAAAATGATGGATGGGAAGGTGCTCTATTCAACCTAGTGATTCATATATTGTTAGGAGATCGATCAAATCAACTCCCTTGGGGATTACCCGGACGAAATATGATAGGAGTGATCCTAAGATGCCAAAAGTGGGCTCTAAGGGGAATTTCTCCCTCTTAGGTGAAAAGCTCAATTGACATGTAGAACTCATGCAATTCATGAAAACATCCATCAAATAGATAATAAACTCAATCAAACATAGGATTTGTCACATACATCAACATTAAACCAAAATCTAAACCTAGGGTTCTTTAACCTAAGAGAAAGAGGTCTAGTTCATAGAGAAGAGAGAGATATTACAAAATAGCCCAAGATCTTCATCTTCTAGGCTTGATTCTTTTACTCAAAGATCAATTGAAGCCTCCAATTAAGCTCCAAGTTCTCTCAAGATCACTCTACATCTCTCTAGAGCTCCTCTTTGGTGCTTTGGATAAAAAACCTAGAGGAGGAACCAAGTTCCCCTCCAAAAAATAGCTCTCTTCCTCTCTCCAAGCTACTGTCTTTATGTTTGCCCGACAGTGCCAACTTCACGGTCACTGTTCACAAGGGTTATAATAGCAAGCAGATGGTGATCTCGGCAAAAAATGCACCATTTTGGGATATTTTCATTGTCGCGGGGTGATTTTCACGATCACGGGACCGTGACAATTTTTAGGCCCGCGAGATGCACAATTGCTGCTAGAATTTGCAAGCTTCACGATCTGGGGGTGATTTTCACCCCCTCAGGGCGTAACAAATGAGTGATGCCCGTGAACATTGCACAAGCTCCACTTTTTGGCTCGTTGTGACCTCCGAATGACCCGAAACTCATCATAGACCTTTCCACATGTACAAGGACCTAAAATGTGACAAAAGAAGCACAACCTAGTGTAAAATAGGTCGAGGAATGACGATAACTGACACGCTACGACACAACACCAAACTGCGACCAAGTGTAATCGCCGAATGGAAATGCAGAATAGTGGTAAGTTAAATTTATCAACCCAGGGACTAGATCTACTGCCAACTCCGTGAGTATCTACTATCTAGCAGGACTAAGTGTAGTGAGAGTGATTGAAATGAAAAGCAGTAAGAAAGCAGGAAATTGATCGAAGTTCTTAAGCAAGGGAAGAGTCACTCGGGAATGAGTCCCCCTAGCTCCTTAGTTAGGTCAAAGTAGTAATTACCTTAGGTTGATTTACTGTTGATTAAAATGCGGAAGATTCGACAGTAGCTTGGAATCTCTTAAGCTGACCAAGCCCTCTCAGATAGACTACCCGACAGAGGACTAGTCTTCACCCAAATATACTGCTGAGGTAATAAACACTGAACTCCACTACTGGAATTGGATTCCAGTACAAAGCAATGAATCAATTAACTCTCGTATAACCAATTCACTACTTCCGATTGATGAAGCTCTAACAACCTAATCAGATTCTATCTATCTCAAGTTGCAGCATAAATCAAGAAAAGTTGATCAGGCTTCAATGGACTCAATGAATCATGCATCAATCGATTAAAATCAAGCAGTATAGCAATCCAAACGTCATTACAACAATGATCCTTTTTTTTTATAATGGTGATAAATTAGAAAAGAAAATGAAGCAGTACAGAAATAGCGAGGCAAAGGTTCACTAAAAGGTGAACCAAAAAGCCCAGCAGACAAAAGAGGAACAGGAACAAAACAGCAGCAAAGGCTGCGGAAAAAAGTACAGCGAAAGAAAAAGAAAAGGAAGAGGCAAGGAAAACAAAGAACCCCAGAAAACTAGCTAGTTGGACCAAGCCAACCCTGCTAGAAAACCGAAACAGAAAGCATCCTAGACCGCAAAACCAACCCCAAGAGTGAGGCGACAAAGCCGATCAAAGGAAGAACTCAGACGATCATCAGGAGGAAGGAGAGCGCGGCAAGAGGTTCTGCAGATGCTCCTCAGCCCACCGCAATCCTTGAGATTTATCCACCTTCCCAAAAGCGATTACCCAATCCAAAGCATCCCTCAGCACCTTACGAGTAACGATCCTAGCATGCAAACGAGCATCTCTGAATACTCTTCTATTTCTCTCCAAACAAATCTGCCAGCACAAAGAGTGAAGAAGACCGAAGCAAACCCAACTGTTAACACTGGAAGCAGGGCAAGAGGGCCACTCCCGAATCATGGATATAATGTCTCTACTTGAGCCTGTAGAAAGACCACAGACCCTTCTTGAAGCACTCCACACGTCCCTGGTAAACTCACAATAGGAGAAAATGTGATCGATGTTCTCCTCCTCTTTTCTGCAGAGCTCACATCTGTTGGCAAGATGCCAGCCCCTGGCCTTCAAATTGTCGATGGTGAGAATTCTCTTATGCGCCACGAGCCAAACAAAGAAGCAGATTTTTGTCGGAACAATCTGCCTCCACACAGACTCATCCGGGAACTCCGAGACTCCTCTGAACTTGTCATCCACCAAGTACCTGTACATAGAACGAACAGAAAAAGATCCATCCACGTCGGGCAGCCAAGTAGGCCTAGGAGGCCCACTCGACACACAACTGACTCCTCTCGAATTAAGCAGGTTCAAAAGCTCCACTCTCTCCCTATCCGCTCCTCCCCTAAGTTCAATAGACAAAGGAACATTCCAAATAACAGAGTTACCTGAGAGGGACGCGGCGTGCGAGACCCTGGCGTTCGGAAAGCTAGAGGCAGCAGCAACTCTCGGGAAATTCTCAGCGAGAACCACTTCTGGAATCCAGCTATCATGCCAGAAGGAAACCCAAGCACCATGATCAGCATCAATACTAGCCATCTTCCAAAAGGCGTCATACTCTTTGGAAATATTTGCCCAAACTGAGCCTGAGAAGCCCTGACTACATCTCTCAGTGCGCCAAACAGAGTGCTGGTTAGGGAACTTAATGCTAATCAACTCCCTCCACCAGCTATTACTCTCAGTGGCATACCGCCACAACCACTTCCCTAGCATAGCCCTATTAAAGGACTCAAGATCAATGATCCCAAGGCCACCCCGCGAGATAGGAGCTTTGCAGATATCCCATCTAACCAAAGCAAATTTTTTAGTATCACCCGAACCGCTCCACAAAAACCTTTTTTGAGCGCCCTCCAATCTTTTCACCACAGAAGAAGGAGCACGAAGGAGGGAGAAGAAGTAAACCGGTTGACTCGAGAGTACAGCCTTTATCAAAGTTAATCTGCCTCCAAAGGAAAGGTATTTTCCTTTCCAACCATCGAGCCTCTTCTGATATTTGTCTACAATTGAGTCCCACACCGAGACAGCGTTGGGATTTGCGCCAAGAGGGAACCCCAGATACTTGGAAGGCTCCCCACTCCAATTGCACCCAAAGATAGAAGCAAAAAACTCAGGATTTGGGACGTCCCCAACTGTGAACATCACCGATTTCTCCAAGTTAATCCTGAGGCCAGTAACCGCCTGGAAGCAAACCAGAGTAGCTAGAATATTAAGGACCTGATTATACTCCGCGTCGCAAAAGATTAACGTGTCGTTTGCAAACAACAAGTGAGTCACCTCTCCCCCACCATTTTCCTCATTCATAAAGAAACCGGAAATTTTCCCATTGCTCCTAATCCCAGAGATCATAAAGGACAGGACATCCATAATAAAGGTGAAGAGGCCTGGGGACAAGGGGTCTCCTTGTCTCAAACCTTTCTACGCATTAAAGAAACCTTTCGACTCCCCATTGATGAGAACAGAGATCTTCGGACGACACATGGTCCCTTCTATCCACTTGTGCCATTTCTCAGAAAACCCCATTCGAGAGAGAATTCGAAACAAACAGCCCCAGTTGACATTATCAAAAGCTTTCTCAATGTCTAACTTGAACATCAGACCCGGCTTCCTACTTCTCTTCCTGCTATCAACAAGTTCAAACGCAATAAGGCCCGCATCACCAATCTGCCTACCCTTCACAGAGGCATGCTGGTTAGGGGAAACAAGATACGAGAGAACACTCCCCAATCTGCGCGACAGGACTTTGCTAACCAGCTTATTGAAGCTGCCCATGAGACTAATTGGCCTCAAGTCCTTGATGTCTTCAACTGCATCTATCTTAGGCACAAGACAAATAAAAGAGTGAGTAATGCTATCAGGCAAGAAACCAGTATCGAAAAACTCTTCAAAGGCTTTAATGACATCAATCCTGATCCAGTTCCAGCTTTTCTTGTAGAATTCCCAAGTGAAACCGTCCGGCCCAGGTGCTTTCCCACCATCGCAATCAACAATACTAGCCCAGATCTCCCCCTCCGAGAAAGGCATGTTAAGAATCCCCGAGTCCGACTCCGAAACCCTGCTGCAGTTGTAGAAGAGAGGGAAGGGCCGAGATTTTATGCTTTCCTGAAACAATCCCACATAAAAGCTCACAACTCCTTCAGAAATCTCCTCCCTTCCTTCAATTGAAATGCCATTGATCTTGATACGCCCTATGTGATTAACTTTCCTTCTATAATTCGCAAATCTATGAAAGTACCCTGAGTTCCTGTCTCCTTTATGAAGCCACAGCTCCCTCGATTTTTGCCTCCAGGAAACTTCAAGTAGATCAAGGGTGATGCCAATATCAGTTAAACATTGCTCCCTCGATCTCACCTCCTCAATCGTCAATGGCCTCAACTCTTCTTGCTTATTTAGGTCCTGGGCCTTAGCCATAAGAGCCACAAGCCTCTTATTCTGATCCCCGAACACCTCCCTGTTCCACACCTTAATTTTGTTCTTAAGATCCTGTAGTCTCCGCGCCCACCGAAATACAAGCCCTCTGCCTTGAATCTGCGAAGCATACCAACTATTCATCCCAGTGAAAAACCTGGCATCTTCTAACCACATATTCTCAAACTTCCAAGGCCTATGCACCCTGTGGTCGTCTCCCTAAGAGATAAGCAAAGGATTGTGGTCCGAGACAATGCGCTCAAGCGCAGTAAGAGAGCAGTCTGAGAACATAGAGTCGAAGCTGGATGAAACAAAAGCCCTATCAATCCGAGAGAGACAATTGCTATCCCCTCCTCTGCTCCAAGTGAAAAGACTCCCCCTGAGCGGTAGCTCCATAAGCCCACAAGCATCGATAACTGAATTAAATTCCGTCATGAGGTTTAGACTGCGGCGGCCCCCTGAGTACTCATCATGGCTACGAACTAAGTTGAAATCCCCAGCGAAACAAATAGGATCTTGATTATCATGGCCAATAGAGAGCAATTCATCAAGAAAAACCAGCTTATCCTCCCTAGCTTGCGGCCCATAGACCACAACCAAACGCCAAGCTTTCAGGGTAGCAATCTCCTGGAGAGAAACCTCAAGAAAGTGCCTCCCTTCTCTGCTGTTAGTCACATTAAAGAAAAGCTTATCCCAGAAGATAACAATTCCACCACAGCTGCCAATCGCATTCTTGGAAACCCACCCAGATTCAACCACACCACCAACGCTCTGAACCTTGAAATCATCACAGCTTGCCCACTTGGTCTCAACCAACCCCACAATTTTAGCCCGACTGCTGTTCACAATTCGCTTAACTCTAGCCCTCTTACCCCCATCGCCTAACCCCCTTACATTCCACACCAAAACCGAGGTGGCCATAAAACAGAAACGCAAATCAAACCACCCTTTTCTTCCTCCGCCTAGACTCTAGCGGCGGATCCACAATCGGCCCAAGACGAATCCTTTCCATATCGAGCTTCGTTCTGCAGGGGCGGACTTTCCTCTGGTGAAGTTCTGTAGCCTGATTCGCAATCACCCTCTCAACTTCGCCTTGACCCCCAGCACCATTTAGACCAAACAAATCCCCCAATTCAACACTCGTAGAGACCAGTGTGCCCAAATCGAATGGAAAAGAGTCCTGACTCCATTCTCTATCCTGACTGTCGGCCACACAAGAAGGTGATGGCAAGAAGAAATCGGATTGGCAGCTCACCTCGTCACCCGAAGAAACGGAGTGGATGGGAGTAGCCGGTGGCGAGGAAGAAAGAAGAGGCGGGGACGCCGTCGAGCAGAACTCCCCAGCCGACTCTGATGATGCTAATTCCACGAATATTCGGGGGCGAGGGACATCATCCTTAACCAAAATTTCGAAGACCCAAGGATTACTGGAACGGACCAAAATCATTGCTTCCAGGCAGCGGAAGCTCTCGCACTTTGACAAAAGCGAAGTCGACGCCCTGTCTGAAAGAACATCACTCGGGACTAAAAGGGAAAAGGAGAAGGGGTTCTTGGATGGCTGCAGAAGAAGGTCTTGAAGAAATAGAAAGGCTTGCGAGGCCAAGGAACCCAAAGCCCTTTTCCCCGAAAGCTGACACCAGGGCCCAAAACCTTCAACACTTCTATCACACTTCTTCACCAAGCTACCAGACCCACTGAATTCAATATCCGGCCCTCGTACGATACCAGGAAAACTAAAGTTGTTGGGCTTATTAACCGGCCCGGCCTTTCTAACCCATATTCGCCTGCTCGACCCAAATTGCACGCCAAGCCTACTCCTGCTGGTAGCACCGTGAGCAGCCCCATGAAGCCTAGATAAGTCCCCAGCGGCAGATATACTTTGATTCGAAATACTTCCTTTCAAATTCCTCCTTGGAACCTGCAAACCACGCCTGATCTGAGCGCCGCCCCCTTTTTCCACAAACCGATGATCATTTACTCCTTTCAACTTCCGAACCTTCTTTGCCAAACTCTCAGCACTCACACCGGCCGGCGAAAACTCAGGCGATGATCGAACATGGATGTAGAAGCACTGATCACCAAAAACCAGCGGGACTTCCTCCGGAATAAAACCATCAACTTTCACCCTTAACCTAACAACAGGGGAGCTCCAAGAGTTCCAATCAACCTCCACCAAACCGCCGCAAAACTCACCGATAGTTCTAATCAGATTAACACTCTTGAGATGTAGCGGAATTCCAAAGACCATGATCCAACGAACATCAGAGGGCAAAACTAAGTTGTTGGCAACTTCCTGCCACATATTGACCTTGACAGAGAAGCTCTTGAACCTAAGATGGTCAAGCTCTTTAATCCGAAGTAATTCACGGAGACTCGGGCAGTGAAGAAGCCACCTGCCGTCCTCCAAATCCTCCAGGCCAAAGTTGGAGTCTATCAACCAGAACCTCTCCGCCCACCTTCTAAAATCACCCACCTGCTCCCTCGTGAAAATCTCATCAGAGGATGAACAGAAACTTATAACCAAACATCTATCCAACGAGCTAATCCTTTCAGACACTCCTGCAGGGCCAACCTTAATATAACAACCGTCCGGATCTTTAACAATCGAACAGATTCCCGCACCAAAAAAGCCTCCTCCTTTAACGACTTCAGCGTAGGTTCTGCTCACCTCCGCGCTCGCCGGGAAACCTGGAGCCACCGGGAGGTCAACCGCCGCATGAGTAGAAGACAACTCCTCAATTCGCAGACGCTGTTCCTCATGATAAAACTGCTGCAGAAGGGAAATGATGCATGCCCACCCCTTAAAGGGTCCCGCCGAAGGTATGAGAACCATGTAAGCCTTACCGCCAGGACCCTGCTCGGAGATCTGCAACATATCCCCATTCCTCCTCCCCATCCTGCCCACATGAATCGTTCTCATCCCACTCCTTTTCACACAGCCCACCGGAAAACTTCCAATTACGCATCGCTGCGGTTTGCAAGACCCCTTGAAGCCACGCAAGCTGTTTCTCGTCCATAACAATGGACCACTTCCTTCTCGCGTCCTGCACTTGGAATCTATACCCATCCCGTCCTCCGAACAGCCCTTTGCTAAGGCTGATTGATCTAGATCCCGTCTGTAGAGCCCGCTGACAGAAAACCCGAGAGTCGCCTCCTTCTCTTCGCCTCGACGCCTGGGACCTGCAAAAAGAGGAAACAAACCGACGCCCCTCCCCCACCCGTGCGCTCACCCTCTCGGAATCACTCATTGATGATATCCGTAGCCGCGATTGTTTTTCACTCTCGTGTTGAAATTTTACTAAGTCTATTCATTAATGCTCCTCTCCGGCCCGGTTGGTCAAGGTCAAGCTCTACAACAATGATCCTTAACACATGGAACTAGGATTTTTCATACCCAAGTGAGAGAGGGTTCTACTCCATAGAGAGAGAGAGAGAGAGAGAGAGAGGAAAACAAAATACAAAGCAGTCATACTCATCATAATGGGAAGAATCTGCTATGGGATGTCAATCTTCACTCCTGGGGATGCAATCTGGGCTTCAATAGTGAGAAATCCACTCCAAATAGCTCCTAGGGTTTGTTCTTCGCACTTCCTCTCTCTAAGACTCTGTTTTTGCTCTGAAAAATCGTCTCCCCAAAATATGAGCTCCTCTCCAATAAAACCCGCACATGTGCAAAAACACGACCTCTGACCCTAAAAACCCGGCCCTGTTTTTAATCAGAGAGGCCATGTTTCAAAATGACGATTCTGTGAAGTGTAGAGAAAAAACCCGGCCTCTGACACAAGGTCGTGTTTTTCACAACAGAGGTCATGTTTGAGGGCGTGTTTTTCAGCAGCCCTGCTGCCCGGTTTTCGCGAAACTTGTCCCAAGGCCATATTTACGTACTAGGACCTGAAATATGACAAAAGAACACAACCTAGCGTAAAATAGGCCAAGGAATGACCAATCACTAAGCTAAACAATCAAGAAATGAAGGAAAAAACATGTGCAAATACGGTGTTATCAATAACCAAGTCAAACAATCAATATATGAGGGTGTAAAACATGTGTACTTATGCCCGAATCAATTCTGCTTCAGATGATGACCGTGAGATTGTACTTTGTTTCTTGCTTTCCAACTCAACAACCCTGTACCAAGGAAGGTATAGTATCTAGTGATATATTTTTAGTAATCACAGTGACCAATCTTGCATTTACTCATAAATAAGGTCATTGCTATTCGTCGCCCTAATTTTTATAAAAAATGACAAATATCCTTAGTTAGTTTTTGTCTCAGCTCTATTTCCTATTGTTCGGACGATTTTCCCAACTGACCTGTCCCCAACTTGCCAGAAACCCATCCCCAACTTGTCGGACAAGTTAAAAATCCGAATATCCTTAGTTTAGTAAATTACGACTGATTATGACAGCCTAACCCATATATTTTTTTTTTTAAATTCCTAACCCAGAATTTCAACGAACAATTAGAATGAGGAAAGGTTAAGTGTGGAAACCATAGAAAAATCTTGGGACTTGACTTGTTTAATTTGGCAAGGACTCGAACTTTTGGCCGCCAGCGGGAAACTGGAAATCAATCTTTGTTCATTGCTCTGGTCTCCGAAGACGGGTTGAAGGATGATTGGGTATAAGCTGTAAGCTGCTAATGGCGGCCTCTTTTTAAATGGGGAATAAAGGGTGGAGGATTGATTAATTAACTTAAAAAAATTACGGGTGATGTTGGTTAGAAATTGGGCCGAGGGTAAAGGGGTAAATTAGGAGCATTTTAGGGGGACGAATAGCGATTCAGATAAAAAAATGAGTGTAAGTTGTAACGAGAAAAAAGTAAGCAACACAATGCGCTGACACGAACAACCCGCCACCTGATCCACTCACAACCCTCCCAACCCGTAACCCGCTGAACCCCCAACTGACCCTTAACCAGAGTAGCCCATAACCCGACAAACCCGAAACCTGACAAACCCACAATCCGACAAACCCAAAACCTGACAAACCCATAACCCGTAATCCAATTGAACCCAATCCAAACCCGCCGATTGACCCCAGCGAAAGTTACATGGTTATGAAACTGTTGCTTTAAAGCATCAAGTTGACTCACACTTGATAAATCTGGTCATTCTATTTAGGCCGTCCGCCTCCTTCGGCGTCTCTAAGTATCATCCTAACTAGACGGGCACTTCCAAATACAATGACTGACTGGCCTAAGCACCCAAAATCCTGAGTGACATAAGACTTTTTGCCCGATCTGTCTAACACATCAGTTTGCAAAATATTAAACACGAAATCATGCTGCTGCTGGAGTTCGCTATGTAAATGCTTCCCGCTGTTGTATTGGCAATTCTAGATCACGTTCTCCATCTAACAAAGAAAAATACTGATCCACCATGCCTTCTGTCACCAGCCCTAACCTCGGAGGATTCCACTGCACAAACACAAGAGTTACTCACGCCATATGATTTCATTTCATGCTACCAAAACGCAAATCCCAACTCGGAGTGAAAGAAAGCTCGCACCTTTGGTGCCAAGTCTTTATCAACAAGCCGTGCACGGACACCCTGATGCAGGAAAATTAATACGAGGCAAGACTATTTAGAACTCGATTTGTCCAATTTCCACAGGAAATCTAGAAACAAACACGTACCTCACGCAAGTCCTGCTGGGCCATACTCTGTAGAGACATTCTATATTCACGGACTAAGCACTGATCAAGCGTTTGAAGTCTACCGTCCCTTATCTGAAACAGTAGATATGGGGGCTGAGATCATGCTATTACTGTGTTAATAAGTCGAGGTTCTAACATTACTAGCTGCTATTAGAACTCACTGATCTCAAGGAAACCTTCAAACTCAGTGGGGAGCATTCATTTAGCCTTCTGAGAGTAGAGTTGCACCATGGATCATTTGTCTTCGAAGCCTCAGTTTCCTGACAGTGATTCAATACGTAGAATAGAGGAAATATTCATCGATTAAGATTTTTTTTTTAAATCACGATAAAGAATGAAGCGATTAGACATGTCATTTTACCAAAGCATCTATGATTTCTTCAACTGTGTCATGACTGAAACATTTATCAACAGCTTCAATCCTGAAGAAAAACAAAAAGAAGAGCCAAAATGAAGACAAATTCTGTCGTGTTTTACATAATTTATGGGGAAATTATTAGCAATCCATGCCATGTTTGGACTGAAAAAGAGTTCTGTGGATCACTACCAATTACAATGAACAAACCTGTGAATTACACTTAAGCTATCTGGATGGACGAGGTCACCATACTCTTCTAATGAAGTTTCAATGACAGAAGGATCATCAGTGATCAGATTCCCCAACCGCTCCTCAACTGACCGAAACTTCTGATAGATTAAGATAAAACAGCTATTTAAGCAAGAAGAAGAGAAAGCAGTGTGAAAGAAGAGAACACGTTAACAAAAATTAACTGTACTGTGAGTGTAGTGTGTAGCCAAGCCACAACCGATCATTTCAACTCCATTTAGTGTCTCCCCAGTAAGAGCCAGATATTCCCCTGCAAGCAGGAATGTATTTTATGCATTTTGAAGATGGAAATGAATGGTTCTTCTGTGTCTAAGGTGACTAGAAGGACCAGAAAACGAATCAGAGAACTGATGCAAACTGTAAACTACCTAAATGACCAGGTAAATGTGAAAGGTAGAAGGATGCACCAGCATCAGGGTGGAAACCAATAAGGGTTTCAGGAGTAGCAAAAATCTGCAGATCAGCACGGCATATCTGGTTATTTTCTCCTTTGTTATTGACAAAGTACACGGACCATTATGCACCAGATCACCATGAGATCACTTGGAAAGGAAAAGCTTCAATGACTCAAAAGAGCATTTGAAATTAAAAAATCATAAGGTACTACTACTATTTGCATACAGTTCTTTCAGTTGCCAAACGAAATGTGCTAGGAATTGAAACTCCAGCACCACCACCCATGGTAACGCCATTCAGAAGAGCTACCTATAAGAAGTATCTTCAGAGCATCACCATCATTATCAAGATTCTATCCCAAAGTATCCCAACCTAAATCAACGAAGTTTTCAAAAGATATACTCACCTGTGGCTTCAAATATGTACCTAGAAGGTAAATGAACTGGTATAATGTGGCGAAAAAGTTTTTACAAGCCTCCCGCTTCCCTGGGACATGAGGGTTAGGAATTTCAAGGGGAAGCAAGTATGCTGATAAAACACCAACAAGCTTTCGTGTATGTCGATACTGAATCTGAAAGGCAATACGGCAAGTCTTGTTGTTTACCCTGATTCAGAAGATGATAAACAGCAACCATATCCCCACCAGCACAAAATGCCCTGCCACTGCCCTTCAGTGTACATATACCACCATAGCCAAGAGCAAAACGCTTCTCAATCAGCCTTCCATGTCTTTAAAATGGCCGCTGGGAGCAAATAAAACTTGGAGAGAAGTGGTTACCTTCATCGCCACAAATCCAATATCCGGATCATCTTCCCAGGACGTGTACAAATTGTTCAATCTAGATCCCTAACCAAAATCCCCAAGATTCATTTCCCCTCATTAACCAATTCGGAGCGGAAGTGTTTTAGCAAACAACATAACGGGAGGGACAAGAAAACACAGAATAGCAGAGAATCGAAAGAGTCACCATGTTCAAGTTGAGGGCATTGAGAACCAAAGGCCGGTTGAGAATGGCGGTCCTGAATTGAGCTTTGCCTTCCACCAGCACCTGTTGAGTAAATCACCCTCACCAAATAACAGTTAGTCGGTCGACGGAGAAATATGAATTCAAACGAAGTCAGAAGCTAGGGACAAGTTCTCGAAACCTGGCTTTGAAGATCATCGTCGTCGATAGGCTTACTGATACTACTCGCGAGAGAGCAGATGCCTCTGTAACTATCACGGTAGCGAGCATGGGCGAAGCTACGACCCTCCGCCTCGCCGAGCCTGGCCAGCAAGCCAGCCGCCACCTTCAAGCCTTTCATTGGTACGGAGGAGCGGCCTGATTTAGTGATTTTGGACGGCCCGATAGACCGACGAGGCACCCCCTCGATGATATAGCCCTAAAAAGGGAAAATCACTGTAGGTTTGTGGAAACAATCCGCCAGTTGCGTCCGATCAGCCTATATCAGTTGAAAGTGATAACCAAGATCATGACTGAACGGCTTGCAAGTCTGCTCCCTCAGATCGTTTCTGAGGGTCATAATGGGTGTATAAGAGACCGGCAAATTATCGATAACATCTTTCTCGGACATGAGTTAATGCATTATCTAAAAAAAAAAAAAAAGCAGGGGAGGAAGGAGTACATGGCTCTAAAGGTTGGCATGGAAAATGCCTATGATAGAGTCGAATGACCCTTCCTTCTGGCAGTTTTGGATAAAATGGGTTTTAACTCCGTCTGGCAAGGATGGATACATGAATGTCTTCACTCTGCTTCATTTTCGGTCCTGATGAATGGTACACCCTCGGGTTATTTCACTTCCTCTCGGGGGCTCCGACAGGGAGATCTGTTATCGCCTCTCTTGTTTGTACTATGCACTGAGGGGTTTGCGGCCCTTCTTCAGAAAGCGATATCGGAAAAGAAGTTGGAGGGAGTGAAAGTGGCTCCCCGTGCTCCAAGAATCTCTCATTTGTTCTTCGCGGATGATTCTTATTTATTCATGTGAGGTTCTCTTCAGGTGTGCGAGAATTTAATTGAGGTGTTGAATGAATATGAGGAGCTGAGTGGTCAAAGGTTTACTCTGGAGAAATCCGCAGTCCTTTTCAGCAAAAATGTTGCCCTGCCAGATCAAGAGTTCTTGGCCACGATTCTAGGGGTCGATTCAGTAGGGGTCCATGATAAGTATCTGGGGTTACCCACATTGATTGGCCGTTCCAAAATGGCTACGTTCCGATATTTAGATGAGAAATTACTGGAGCGACTGCAGGGATGGAAGCAAAGGACATTGTCCTAGGCGGCAAAGGAGACATTAATTAAGTCAATAGCTTTGGCCTTACCTCTGCATGTTATGTCGTGTTTCCGGTTACCCCTCTCCCTTTGTCGGCTTTTGGATAGACATGTGGTCCGGTTCTGCTGGGGTGCTGAGGAGGGCCATCCCAAGGTGCGGTGGGTGTCCTGGCGCAATCTGTGCAGGAGTAAATATGATGGGGGGGGGGGGGGGGGATTTCGCCGGTTTGAACATTTTAACCAAGCTCTTTTAGCAAAAATTGGCTGGCGTATTCTCAATGAACCTCATTCCCTCCTTGCTCAAGTGTATAAAGGGAAGTATTTTCCTCAAGGATCTTTTATGGCCGCAACAGCTTGTTCATGCCCTTCATGAGGATGGCAGAGTATCCTGTTTGGGTGCCAGTTATTGGAGGTGGGTTTAAGATGGCAGATCGGAAATGGCCGATCGACCTCCCTTCTCCACTCTAACTGGATTTCAGGGCTTCAGCTGGACCCCCTTGCTATAATCTCTTGGTCCTGCCAGATGGGGGTGACCCCTTGGTGGTGGAGGTTATTTGTCAAAGGGAAGGGCGTTGGGCTGATGATAAGCTTAGCCAATGGTTTGACCCGTCTACCTGTCGTGCAATTAAAAACTATTCCACTTCCGCAGCAGAATGTGGCTGATAAACTTATCTGACATAACACAGCTGACGAGGTGTTCTCGATTAACTCGGCTTACCATTTGGTTGTTGAGCTAGATAGGAGGGGTGGGTGGCGGTCTTCGGTTAGTTGGATGGATAAGCCCAGTTGGATCCGGTTGTGGGAAGCTAAGATCTCTCTGAAGCTGAAAGTCTTTGTCTGGCAAATCCTTCATCGGGCTCTACTGACCACTGAGGCGCTCATTGAAAAAAAGGTCCATGTGTTGCCCCGGTGTCCGGTCTGCTAGGATAGTCCCGAGATGATGGAGCACATGTTTCTTTATTGCCCGGTTGCGCGGGCTCTCTAAGACTACTCGGGATTGGAATACTTGGGGGAGGGTTTGCCTCGGCACACATTTCCGTTGTTTCTCAAACGGCTGCTCGCCCTCGTCCATCAGTCGTCGATGTTCATGGCTGTGGTTGCCATCCTTTGGCGGATCTGGCGGTCGCGTAACTGGGTTGTCTTTGAAGGCAAACAGTCTGGGATCCTGGAACTAATGCCCAAATTTCACCAACAACCAGGGACTCAAGTGGGTGATTCTCGGTTGGTTTGCATGTGGGATGGGGCCACGAGGAGGGGGTCACACTCGGCTGGTGGGATGGTTCTTTTTGGTCCGGTGCGGATGATCCTTTTGGCCAAAGGGGTGCAGTTTCCTCGAATTGATGAGCCAATGGTGGTAGAGTTGCTTGTGCTTCGGGAGGATATTATTTGGTGTTTGGAGAGTGACTTGTCGGCAGTTCGGTTCTAGGGAGATGCGAAAGTCATTATCGACAAAATTAATAAAGTTGCCACAAGCGACAACTAGTTGGGGGCAGTCCTAGAAGAGATATATCAGTATTTTCGTGCCCATCCTGGGTTTAGTGTGCGATTTATAGGTCTGGAGAACAATAGAATATCTCACTTGGTAGCTAGAAAAGCCCTCTCTTTGTATCCGGCTGTAAGTCGCTTCTTTGATTTCCGGGCCTGGCTGGTTTCCAGGATGCAACTATCTTTTTGTTTGGATTAATATATGATATCTTTTGACAAAAAAAAAAGAGAGGATATTTTGTCAGATATTTTAGGTGGGTTTGTGTTATGTGACGGTCCCCATCTCCCACCTAAGCTCCAAGTCAGCAAATTTTTCCACGTGGACGCCATGTCAGCAATTTTCCCCCCCTTATACCCTACCGTCGAGGACTGCCTTCCCACCCCCTTTTTCTCAAACTCGATTTAGGGTTCCTAGAGAACCATTCTAATCGGCTGCGCTGGAGAAGAGGTTGCTGCCCGCCGCCGATCCAAGGGTTCCCTCTGACAGCAGCCCTCACCGCGCCCCTAGCCGCGTCCCTGGCGGCGCCTCCACGCTACAAATTTAGGGTTCCTAGAGAACCATTCTAATCGGTTGCGCTGGAGAAGAGGTTGCTGCCCGCCGCTGATCCAAGGGTTCCCTCCGACAGCAGCCCTCACCGCGTCCCTGGCGGCGCCTCCACGCTACAGATTTGACTTTTAGCCTTCTCAATTTCCAGCATCACAAAGGGTTGGGTTGGAGATGTCAAAGTGGGTCTCTTCCTCTGCGACAAGCATCAGTGGTGATGGCCTCGTCCGCTGCAAGCACAACATTCCCGCCGTGGTCAAAACATCTGGTACTAATGATAACCCAGGCCGACGCTTCTATGGATGTCCATATTGGAAGGTAAGGATGAATGATCGTAACGAAGAATGTTGTTGTTTGAGGGGTTGTTTGTTAATTGGATGGTTGTCATTGGGCAGGATGTGAAGAAGAACTGTCGCTTTTTTAGGTGGGCGGAGATGAATGATGATGTTTGCGAGGTCCGAGACACAAATATTGAGAGGTTAATACTGCAACTGGAAGAGAGTTTGAGCATTGCTGAGTCTAAGGCAGAGAGGAGGAAGAAGGAGAAGAAGAGGATAGTTGAAGAAGGAAGGAAAGTGAATGAAGATCTCCGTGCAATTCGGTTTATGTTAACCGTTATTGTTGTATTGAATGCCTTCGTTCTTTTTGTTGTGTGGAGCCATCAATTTGTGATTTAGAAGTAGTAGGGTTTAGATAAGTGGTCATGATGTTTGTTCTAGAATGGTCGAACAATATAACTGTAATGCTATCTTCAATTTGGTCTTTTTAAGTAGTACGATCAAGAACAATATAATTCCAGAATGTTGTTTAATGTCCAGAATGTTGGAAATGAAGTGGTAGTTGCAATGACTTTTCATCAAGAACCATTCCTGATTACTACAAAAGGAGTACTGCATAACCATTCACACCAAGTTAACTAGCCATTCCTGGATTACAAGATGTTTTAACTTACAAAGCTTAACAAAGTGCCCCATTATAGAACATAACCATCCTATCAAAGTGCCCCATTAGTTACATTAGTCGATTTCAAAGCTTCCTTTATGGAAGTCATTACATGGGGGCTGACAAAAGTAAATCGACTCAATATGCCTCCGTCTAAGGTTGTGTGACAGGTGTCTGACTTCCTTGGACATCCACCACTGTTGGCTGAATTCCACCCACTGGACGACCATTTGCTCCGTTCAGCTGGAAGAACAAATATGTAATCAACAACATACACAACAATTTAAAAGCATCAAATAACTATAAACCACTAGTCTTACCCTAACATATGTATTTCCAGTGGTCTCATTCACATATACACCGATTCCAGCTGTTGCAACTCGCATCTCGCGTGCAATTGTCCTTCGATCACCAACATTTAACCTCACATGCTACATAATGCATCCAATCATTAACACATTCTTCATAACAAGTTCAGTTCGATTCATACACAATCTTATATACTTGTATTCCACTCCCTTGGTTTATAGGACAAGTTCTTGCATTGTGGGTTGCTGAACCACACTTCGAACAATGACCCACCCTTGGCCTCTTTCCGGTGTTATGAGCTGTTGGCAGAGCAGTTGGCTGTGGCGTTGGCTGAGCAATTGAACCGCGAGTTCTCCTCGCTGTAATTATGTTTCCCTTTCCAAAAAAGCAAATCACATTCAGAAATATAAATCAAGTTCAGCAATATAAATTACATTGTGCAAGACAAAATTAAATCACATTCACCTGTCTCTCGGGGGCACCATTTGAAACAGGCTCTTTACAGGTCCGTGCATTATGCCCCTGAGCTCCACACTTGCTGCAGTGGATGACAGTTCCCCTCCTCGACACTTCTTCACCGATTCCATGAGCTTGAGGTCGAACCTCAAGCTCGTGAGCAGCTTTCCTCCGGTTCTTCTTTGGCCTTCCAGGCTGCGCCCTTTGCTTGGGAGGGAATACTGGATAACCAGTGGCTTCAGGCCATGCCTGTCTTCCATCCAAGCAAGGGATGCCAGCCTTATAGCCCTCCCTCACATGATTCACATGATATGAAACATGGACGTAGTCGTCCACATCCTTCCTCAGGTGTGTGATTGCCGAAACAACGTGGCAACATGGCAAACCGCTCAGAGACCAGTACCCACAAGTACATGTCTTAGTTTGGAGATCAACTATGTACCCTGAATTACCCATCTTCACCTCACACTTCAAATCCAAGGTTTGCTTAGATGTGCACAACCTAGCAAGCTCCTTCTCTTTTTCTACCTTCTTTCTAATTCCCTCGAGCATATCTATCATTCTCATTCCCCTATACTTAACAATCATTCCATTCCAGGTTTCACAGATATTACTCTCCACTGAGTCACACTTAGGTAAATGAGATAAGAAGGATCGGCAGAAGTATCTAGGTTCTTGGTCCATTAAGTCTTTAAAAGGTGTGCTAAGTGGGTCATTACCTTCAATCTCCTCCAATTCAGCAGTTGCCTTCTTCCAATCAACTTCATTGCAGGCATAGACTGCCTTCCAGAATACTTTGCAGACCCGATCTGTCTTGTTTTTAGACTTCCAGTTTGCATATACATGCCTTGCACACTTCCTATGCTCCGCATCTAGCAATAGGTCACGTAGAGCATCAACCAATCCCTAACACAAAAGATAATTGTATAAGCAGTTAGCAATTTCAAATGTGTATTAAGTCAGATAATAGAGAACCATACTCTTACCTTTTGTTGATCGGGTATGACAGACCAGCCCCTTCCATCGCGTAAGTTCAGTTCCTGTGACATGATGTTCACAAACCACCTCCATGAATTTGAATTTTCACCCTCCACAACTGCCCAAGCAATTGGGAACATTTGATTGTTCCCATCCTTCCCTACAGCAGTAAGCAACATCCCTTTCACCTCTCCCTTCAAAAAGCAGCCGTCCAAGCCAAACATCGGGCGACAAGCTAAAAGAAATCCGTCTCGTAGGACTGAGAACCCAACATACAACCTCTGGAAGAATACCTTCTCCTGTGTAGGGTGTGGTTCAACCTCCAAAACAAATTTCCCCTCTCGATCCCGCTTAAGCAATTTAGCAATATAACTCCTTATACCATGATACTCATCCACTAAAGAACCACTTAAAATTTTAACCGCTTCCACCTTAGTCCGGTAACATGTTCTCTTTTTCACCTCCATATTGTGCTTCAACTTGATTTCTGCCATAATCTGATCAGGACTCCATTCTGGATTGATTCTGAACCTGTCCAGCATATCAGATGCAATCCACTTGGCCGTAACTTGATTGACACGTAGGTTGCGATTACAAGAGTGCAGCTGTCCAACCTTCCTAACCATGAAAATGTGATTCCTCCTAAACCAGCTCGCATAAACCTTCCATTTGCACCTCTGATCCTTGCATATAACCTCTTTTCTATCCTTCTCACTCCTCTTCCATCTCAAGCATGCCCCTGCTGCTACGGAATGCAGTACAACAACATTCTTAAACTGATCCACACTGTCATACTTGAGACGAGGAGTGAACTGGAATTGTTTATGATCACACTGAGGATCATAACGTGGTGCATCAGCGAATGGCTCAACATCACCATCGTCAGACAGATTGCCCTCACATGATCAGAATCTTCTGACAGTCTATAGCTGGAATGCTGAGAAGTCTCCCTTCTTTCCTCCTGGGCATGAGGAGCTTCAACATTTTCGGCTGCTTGCTCAGTTCTGGCATCACCTTCACCTTGTAATTCACCATCAATCTGGACTTGAGGAGCAATCTCCTCATCAGTTTCATCCTCGGATTCCTCTTCAAACTCATCCATTTGATCAACCTCTTCCCCGTGACAATCAGCCCTTGCCTTAACTTTCCTTTTCCTCATCTCGCCATAAGCTCGTAGATTAGCCCTTGCCTCATGGTACTCGTCGTCCGACGTATCTGCATCATCGGAGTCATACACATGTACCAGGTCACGAGCAAAGGAAGAAGCCCCATCCTCTGCTCCCCAGCTAGCATCCGAGTCTGCTGGTTGGTTAGGATCATGCTCTCCTACCAGCTCCTCCCACGAATCAACCATCTGGAGAGAAATAATACGATTTATGTAGGGATAAACGACAAAGCAACTAATTAAGTGATTAACTTAATCTAAACAATTTTTAATTCACTAACAAACAAATTCCACACACAACCATTCACCATTATTTTTATGCGAAAGGTTTTACTACCAACCACTCAATTACTATTGTACCTAGAATTTGGAAGTGCTGACCTTCAAATTTCAGGGGCAAATCAGCGATACAAGAGAGGGAAGTGGTCCCTGTTCGAATCTACTCTATCGCTTTCCAACCTTTAAAGCAAGCTTCGATAATCGAAAGCCACAACCCAACAAATAAGAACCTTTTGCCCACAATTGAAAGCCACAACCCAACTAATTGAAGGGTACCCAGTGCTCACCAGCTTCGACAACCGAAGAGAAAAGAAATCGTCGATTCCTGGTTGCGATTAGGGTTTTTGGAAAAAACCTTTCTCGGCGGTCCTAGGCTTCGACGGTGCCTTTGCCATGAACAGGACGCTTGGGTTTTGTCGGGAAACAGCCGTCGGTGGTCTATTACGTCGGAAGATGCATGCACGACATCATCTGGCAAAGGCGGCGACGGCGGGGGATGGAACGAAATAGGGAGGGATACAAATTTCTGGGTAGTAAGGGCGCCGATCGGAATAGGTGATATGAATTTTGGGGATAGATCGACAGGTGTTGAGGGAATGATGGGAAGAACACCTCGTCAACCGTCGTGGTCGAGGGAAGAAAGGGAAGAAAGGGAGATGAAGGATCGAAGCGAAGATTTGGAGAAGAAAGTGAAAAAGTTAGGGTAGAGTCGATACCCAATTTTTATCCTTCGTTTTTTTTTATCCACGTGGATTAGTGGGGACGCTAAAACGCCAACTCAGCCTTCCCGTCAGTACAGTCACCCAGTTACTTCACGCCGTTAAATGGAAGATCGAAATTGGGTATTTCGTGTATTTCAATAGTTATGTATATATTTGTCACAAACGTGAAAGTTATGGATATAGAAGTGTATTTTGCCGTATATTTATCAAAACTCTTGAAATTTTAACCCTCTCAGCCAACTACAATTTACTTTCTCAATTCCTCAATGTCGCCATATTTCCTCTCCCGACTCCTGAATAATCTTGGAGATGACCACCTTACCAAAATTGTTGATGAGATAGTAATAGGTCATTGCATATCATTTTCTACATTTGAATTATTTTGATGCATATTGGTGGAACTTAGTGTGTTTGAGTAATTAGTAGTCTAGTAGACTTTAATCTTTTAGAAGCAAAAGAGGTTTTTGTCTAGTTGACAAGTTTATTTTAGTTATTTACTATATAGATGTGTTAGATTCGAAGATGAATGATTTGATATAGTATTATATTTTCATTTCATTTTATTGATTAATAAATATTTTAGGATTGAATTTTTTTTTCTATTAAGAAATACTATAACTATGTTGATTTCCGCTATTTATTATGTATGTTTTGTGTTATAATTGAAGACATACATGTTGAACTTTAGATACAATAACATTGCTTATACGGGATGGGTATTACCCATGGGTATCCGAAACTCATGGGTATGGGGACGGGTTTGCAAAACCTCCCTCCGCATGGGTATGGGGCGGGTACGGGTTTGGGTATTTGATAATTGGGATGGAGATGATTTAGACAAACCCGCCCCATTGACATCCCTACTTGGAACCTTTTTTTAAATGTTCATTTGAGAAGGGGGGGAGGGGAGAAAGACCGAGTCTCCTGAATATGCTTAATTCTGTCGACTCTCACAAGGTGTCTTGCGGACCTAGCAGACTTGTTTGGTACCCAAACCCTGAAAGCTCTTTCTCTGTTGCTTCAATGTACAAGTACCTTTCTAATAACTTGTTCCCGGGGCTGCCGGAGTTCCCTGCTGATTCAGTCTTGAGAAAATGCATTCCTTCAAAGATCAATGCGTTTTTGTGGACTGTTACTCACAAAAGAATCCTTACCCTTGATAATCCTTAGAAAAGAGGGTGTGCCCTTGCGAACAGATGCTCGTTGTGCTGCAAAGATTCGGAACCATAGATCATTTGTTGGTTAACTGCGAGTACAGAAAAAGAATTTGGAACGAGCTGAAAGAAAAATGCAATATAGAGCTGGCTCCTTGCAGAGATATTGTCAACACTATCCGCAATTGGAAGGCTGAGTGTCCTTCTGATCCGCATGAATGGTTGTCCTATTGTGCTCTTCACTCGATCTGCTGGCAGGTGTGGCTCGAGAGGAATCATCGTATGTTCGAAGGTTGTGCTCTTCCAGCTTCCTCGGTGTTCCAGAAGGCGGTGTACCCAATTGTCGAATGGCTTGTGGCGCATGGAAAGATCAGCAAATCTCAAGGGTTTCAATGGTTGCGGCCTTGCCGTTTATCGTGATTTGCTTTCTTTGGGATGCTAGGGTCAGGGCTTCTGATGGCTGCTGCTGGTTGGCTCTGCGTTGGCTGTCTGGTGCTCTCTCCTTGTTGGCTGTGTCGTTAGCGTTGGCTGTGTTTGAGGGTTAATGTTTGTTTTTGCTCTTGCTCTTGTATGTTGTTTTCTTCTTTTTTTCTTTTCTCTCTTCTTTGTTATAAGTTTTTTCCTGTTCTGTGAGGGCAGGGGGCTTCCTGGTTTGCCTAGCTCCTCTTGGTGCCCGCACTTCTTGTGCTGGGCTTTTTCGTTTGTTGTCGTATTCGTTTGTCTGTTTGGACTCTCTTTTTGGCTTATTAATTCAGTAATCACCATTATCAAAAAAATATTGTATTTGGGCTGGTTGGGTTCTTGTAGGGGTGGGGTGTTTCTTTGGATTGTCGTTTCTTTCTTGATCTCTCTCGGTTATAAAAAAAGGCTGTCAAATCGGTTTATATCGTAGCGCCTATTTAGCAAAGTGATATGGTTCTACTGGTGGTACAATTGGTTTGTATCGGTCCATTCTGGTTTAATAAAATATGAAAAACCATTAACAACGAATGAAGTTAAGCATATATAGAACATATTTGAAGACAATTCACTTACAATCTATATCCATACTTAAATAAAATATAACAATAAGTACTCACATTTAAATACAACATTTAATGTCTACATTAATCAAGATGAAGGTGGGGAAGATAGTGGTCCATTTTTCTAGGATGAGGTTCAAATTTCTTGGCTTCAAGGTATTTTTCAAACAGTGGCAATGCGGGATAGGGTCTTTTCGAAAGCCCGTGTTAAGAAGAGTCGATATCGCACGATTCATGTGGGAAGAGGGATGAATCAACGGGGTCATTTTCTTCAAATCTTTGAACTGACAAGAAAATGCAAGTTCTTCAAGGTGTTGATCCCCTTCCGAACTCTACCGCTTGTTAGGCATCGACTTTGCTAAAAGATTTAATTAAGTGGGTTGCTAGAAGCGACCAAAGTTGTTCTCCTCTTTGGAGCCTCCACGTTCTCTATTTGTCACAAAAGATAGATCATTTGCCGACGTTGTTAGATATCATAGGCTCTATGGTGCTGGTCGATGTTCCATCAATTGGCAGGGCATGAGAAATTAATCAAAGTGGGAGACAAGAGAGTCAATAAACGTCTAGACCTCCTAGGAAGAAGTCTAGTTATCGAATTCTCTTCGTCGGACTTGAGCTCTTTCACGTCTAACTTGGTTCCAGATTTTAGGAAATGGGCGAAAAAATTCTGGTAATTGACGACAATTATGACTTTAAGCATCTCTGTTATAAAAAATGGCTTCTCATTTGCCCGAGAGTCGTCAATGCTCTTCGGATTGAGCTTATAGACCATGCAAAGTTCCAAAATTTCTCTATATCTATCTCGGTCTGGGAAGCGAATTCTTGTCTCTCCAGGTCTGCTTCTCCTAATGACCTATGTATCTTTTTTTTCCGAATCCCTTTTCACTTTAAAAGTGTTGGCATTTTCAAAGCTATCGGTGTATTTTGCGGTAAATTCCTAGAGATCGATTGAAAATATTCTTGGAATTCTCCCATGGTGAGGATCAGGATCAAGGCTTCAATAGCTATCCTGGATGAAATTTCAATCTGCTTCGGGAACAACATTTTTCTGGTGAAAGCGATTGTCGACCCATTTCACAGTTTGCCATTAGTCGGCAAGCAAGCTGACCGATTGGCGAGATTGAAGGCAAAAGGTCGATGAGTTGAATTTTCTCCAGAGTCTCTTGAGCCTCATTGCATGGAGAGGCCCCTCTCCCCAATGGTTCATCGTTTCAGCTCCCTGTCTATTCTAGGGTTGAGAAACCGTCCCATGGTGGGCATCGACTAAAGAAATGTGTGGGTGGCTAAAGAACCTAGCTCTTCTAGTACTAGGTTTAATAATTTCTCTCTCATTCTTTAGCTAGGTCTGAGGCCCACGATTGGGTTGGTCCTTATGTGACTTCTAATTGGGCCTCTTATAGTCAGCCTATCCCTGGGACTCTTTTTTGTCTCTCTGTCTGGGCTCCTAGTTCTTCTAGAATCAGTTTCTCTTCCCTGGTGGGCTTGATTGTCCCACTTTCTTGCCCTCTTCTACCCCCTTCCCTCCCCTGCAATCTCTCTTCCTTCTTCCCGATCTCCATTCACATCTATCAAGATGAACTAAACACATTCTCCAACCTCATCTTTTCTTTCCCCCGGTCCAGCTTTATCCTTCACACCTATTCTCGTTCCTCTCCTTCTCCTAATCCACGAGCTCTTTCCTTCCATCCCTTGCCCCCTAATCTCGACAGGTGACCCTTTGGATTCTCCTTCTCCTAGTTCTTGTCCCAATTATGACACTTTCCTTTGCTCGGCATCACTTGATTTTGTTTTTTTCTCCATCTTTTCCCTTCACACTGATAACTTTTTAATCGAACCTGACCCTCCTTCTCCTCCCTCATTCTTCACCAACCCCATTGTCTCCCCCTTTCACTTGTCTCAGTACCTATCCCGACCTCTTTCGAGATGTCTACCCCTTTCTCCCCATCCATTGTCTCCCCCATTTCCCAATCCTCTCTACCCACTTCGGCCTCCATTCTCCCAATTTGAACTCTCCTCAATTGTCACCGCCCTCGAATTTTCTTCGAATCTTTGTATGATAGCTTCTTTGATCCTTTCCTAGCTAGTGGAGTTGCTTTTTGTACTAGATGCAATTTGTTAATGCCTAGCTTGGAGATTCTCGTCCATGGTAGTTGTGAGCAGTGTTAAGATGGTTGTGGACAGGCTCCAGGAGCAATAATGGACTCATGTTGGAGGAGGTATGGTTTTAGAGGAGATTAAAGATTTGCGAGGGAGTTTTGAGCGATTGGAGGTTAGGTTATTGGTCATCATTATAATAGGGATTGTCCATTTGGTGGCACGAAAATTCCTTTCATTGTTCTCTTCTCTTTGATGGTTGTTTGATTTTGTTTCTTCGCTATTTTAGACCTCCTGACATTTTTGTACCTGGCTGTTTCTCATGCAATACCAATGATCTCTTACAAAAAGATGACAACATAAATATTGAAATTACACATAACACTATTGTTGTGAACGGGAAAGAAAAAAAAAGACACAATTTTTTCACAGTTGTGTCCCCAAATAAACTCAAACTACATATCGTATCATTTCGTGATCCATATGTAATCCCTACTGATATTACATCTTCTTCAAAGTAGCTAACTAGAGAGACCACGATCGATGACATAAAATACACTGTGGGTTAGTTTTGTGTTTTGGATAAAACGAACTTTACAGCTAGCTTGGTTCCTGTACTCTGTACGTACTAAACAAGTTTTGATGATCATGACCAGTTAATTATGGCGGAGTCCATATTGAATGGTTGCTCCTCGTCCGGCTGTGGTGCCATAAGTTGTTGTTGTTGTTGAGGCGCCGTTTCCAAAACCCTAGAAGACGACGACGAAGATGCTTGGAAACTCGCACCCAACTGATGGTGATCATGGCTCAACATGGAATTGTAGTCCGCCGCGGCGGCGGCGGCGGCGGCTTCTCTCTGTTGGTAATTCCTTAGCTGCATTGCCTTGAGAAGCAAGTTATTCACGGCGAGGTTGGAGGCGCCGCCGAGCAAGTTAGAAGCGGTAGCGGGCCACGGGAGGAGTGATGAGTTGAGCAGCAGCGACGACGACGACGGAGCTTGGTTCATGTGTAGGAGAGTATTGTTATTGTTATGGTGATGAAGATCGTGAATGTTGATGGCGGTGTGGTGGTGGTGGTGGTAGTTAGCTGAGACGACGTCGTCGTTGTAGCCGCCGCCGCCGCCGTTTAGGTTGGAGAATTCCAAGTCTCCGAAGTGATCAATGTTGTTGTTGTTGTTGGCGATGGAGTTCGTGTCGTCGTAGGATTGTTGGGATGATGATGTCAGCTGTGGTTTCTTGAGTGATGAGGTCTTCTGGAATATCCTACAAACCACCCATTCCTCCTGCATGCACCAACGTGACCAAAAGTTGAAGGGACGTACGTACGTATAATTAAGTTCTTGGATTTATATATAGTGCAATCTAGCATCCAACATAATTGTGAAACTAAATAAGTTTTATCTCATAATAATATGTGTGGGGGAAAGAACATCCAACTTCAGGGACACACTCATATTTCTGAAACACTATTACTGGAAAATAATTAAATTTTATGATGATCTCTTCAAGATTGACAAGTTAAGACATTATTATACACCTACAGAGACGATAACTTTTTGGCCGACTGTTTATTAGTTCATAGAGTCTTTGTACTTTCAAATACATTTTGTCTTGGTTTTAAAATATTAAAAATTAAAATAATTTTAATATTTGAATTTAATAACAAGAATGGGTTCATAGCTCAGTGGTAGAGCATTTGACTGCAGATCAAGAGGTCATTGGTTCGAATCCGGTTGGGCCCTATCTTTTTACTTTGTTTTAAAACTCTTTTAGGTTATTTAAAAAGGAAGATAATTAATTTAATATTTTAATCATTAAATAAAAAATTACCATACTAAAAGCTATATTGCCCTAATATACATTGATTTTATCAAAAGTAAAATAAAAATTCAACTATTGCCATGAGTTTGGACCTTCAAAATTTATCAACATGCGAGTCAATTGGCAATCGACGGCCTGAGGGGAAAAAAAAAGATTAGATGGATACCTTGACGGATTTGTATCGATGTTTGTTCTCGAGCCGATACTCATGCATGACCCAGTTGCTCTTCTCCCCTCTTGGAGCTCTACCTTTGTAGAAAACCAGGGTTTTCTTCATCCCCACAAGAGCCCCCGAAGTTGCAGAGAAGATCTCCTTGTCCTTCCCCGTCGTCTTCCAGTACCCAGCCTCCGTTGCCCGGTTGGTTCGCAAACCGGTCGGGTACTTCCTGTCTCTCAAGCTGAAGAAGTACCATTCCTTCTCCCCCATTGACGCTTTCCCTAGTGCACACACCAAGTAAGCAAACAAAGGTTTCATCTTCAGGGAATGATTTCATTTTTTCCAGGGATTTGTCCTATTGAGTTTAGTGATTGACAAGGTTTTGGTTCAGCTTCAACAATAAAGCTAGCAATAATAATCAAGATCAGTTCTAATTTGCAGTGACAGAGATGTGTAACCTGTTATGCTAAATGACATTCAGCCAAGCAAATTAGCACATGTCAAGATAGGTAGCTTTTGGTTCACTTTATGTGCTTAGCTTTATGAAAAAGAGTCTGGGAAATGTCTGTTTAATTATTATATATATAAAAACCAAGTTGTTGCACCCTCTCCCTTCAAATCAATAAATAATAAGATATATATATATATAGTTAATCAAAGTCGACTGCTTGTGTTTCAAGGAACTAGTAAGTCGACAAAACCGAGGTTGATACCTTCTTGAGAAAAAAGTTGGAAAAAATATTAATCATTTTAGATGAACTCAAAAGTAGCTTGGAAATTATTCCAACTTGCATACGACTAAAAAGAAACACGGTTCATTTCCTATCGATTTCAACTTTAGTAAGTGGGATGATAATTCGATTTATGAACCAAATTTATTCATGACATGGTACCAGAAAAACATTTTGGTCATCGGATCAAATGCTACGACATCGTAATAAGAACCAATTTATCTCGATAAATCTACTCGTGTTTGAGAGAATTTAGGGATGTATGTATACCTGGGAGATCCCAAGGTTCGTTCTTGTTGAGATCGACAGCAACAATGGCTTTGCAAGTGAAACTCGTGTCGGCGATCTTGTGAGTGAGATAGAAGGAGACGAGCTCGTCATCAGTCGGATGGAATCTGAACCCTGGAGGAAGACTTTCCTCCGCCATTGATGATCCTGCTGCTGCCGCTGAAGCAAAAAAAGGGAAACAAAGAAAGAAAGAAGAAACACAGTAGTGAGAGGGCGAAGATCCAAACCCTAGCAAGCAGCTACTGCTTTCTTATAATGATGGTGGGGAAGAAAAGGAAGGGCAAGAGAGGTGTGTTTGTGAGATTTATCTACTAATTAATTAAATAACAGACACATCACTCTTGAAGAAGAAGGCATAACCCATACTTATATATGCTTAATTGCAAATTATTATTATTATTAATTAATTTTGCTGATTTGTCAGTTTTTGGTTGGAGTTTTTAATCCTGATAATTACAGCTAACACGTTGACAAAGATTGGTGCTTTGCCAGGAAATTAATTAGTCTGATGGCGCCAAGACTAATTTACCAAAGAATGCCACTCTCCATCAAGACTTTTGTTCTTCTTGGTGGCTCGGGTTTGAAGGAGAGCTAGTAGCTACACACGTAAACCGAAAACGACAGTGAGTGGGAGGGAAAAAAAAATTATGAAATGAAATCTTTGATCAAATTTTTACTGAAAAGGGACCAATCTAATATTTTGATTTAGAAGTAAAATTAATAAATATAAATCTATAATAACCCTCAAGTATCGATTCCTATTGGATCTTCTTTGATTCATCAAACAGAAGCAGATCTCAAGTTCTGATCAGACCACAAAATGATGGGTACAAAATTGAAGTACAATCACTGGAATATTGAAACCAGGATCTGATACCACTTGTTGAGATGGAATAGTCTCTATTAGTATGATGGTGTTCACTTTGAGTCAAGTCGGACATCATAGATTAGCTCTTATGTACCTTCTGATCAAAAGACCTGGGGCAACGTGGAATAAACTTATACACAATGATTATATTCCTTGTATTTCCCATATGGTACTTGAATTACGTACCTAAAATTCCTCCACTTAAGTACTCAATGACACAAACCAAATTACAAGATGATGATCTTTGTGTGATCCACCAAATGGAAGCTGAACTCAAATCCCGAGACCACTGAACGAGGGGGTCCCACTAAACTGAAGTCCACCGTCCATAATACGAAACCATGCTATAATACCACTTGTAGAGTCTAAACATTTCTCATCATCAGTATGATATTGTTCGTTTTGACGTAAACTCCGCGTGAATCTGCTAGCTCTTAGCTCTTATTAACACCTAGATGGACACTTATATACAGGTATCCTTCTTCTTCTGATCATATTGTATTTAGATTGTAGGTTAGGTCTTTAACTCTCATATTGAACATCAAAGATGGTTGTAGCCATTGCAAAGTACACATAGCTATGCCTGTAAACAAAATGGTAAATGATTTGGGAAGAGATGATTGAGTGCATGTTTACACCATGGAAAGGTTCTCTTTTAGATTTGGTTGGGTAATAATATTGTAAGATCCTGTCCAACCACCTTCACCCATTTCTACCCACTCCCAACTCCAACACCGGCCCAGTCACTCAGTTTCCCCCAATGATATTCCACTAATCTCCTCCCTTAATTCTCTCGTAAATGTATAATAAACATGATTAAGAATACATGAACAGTACCACAATTCAACGCTAAGCTATATGATGATAATTTAATCAGTTTTTTTTATTTGGTTAGTTTCCGTGTTTGAGGCATCAAATCTACACTCTCTTCTAATTCATTTCCGGCAACAATTCCACACTGTTTCCTCCTTATTTTACAAATTAAGAATTAATTTATACAGGCGGCTGCTGAGTTTAATTAATTATACTCTAGAAAACATAGAAGTTTAATATACTGGATAAAAACGCCGGTCCTGCTGCTTACAAATAGATACATTGAATATCCTTTCATTAGAGAAACATATATATGCTGGCTACTTCGGTGCACTCATTTTTTTGGGCGCACTCTCTAAAAGCGTACATAATGTATCAAAATTTGAACTTTAATTAGTACTCTCAATAAAATATGATGATATGACATAGAATCATAACAAATCAATCCATTACCATAACCCCTTAACCTTCAATTTTGAATCCCAACCCAAAATCCCAAACTGTAAACCTAAACCCTAACCCTAAATCCCTAAATCCTAAATCCTTCGAATTAAAGTAAATTTTGATTTTTTTCAAATTCATGTGCTTCTTGTTCATAATATCATAAGCAACAATTGATAGCGTTTTGACATGAATCACATGGTCAAAGTGCACCCGAAAAAGTGGGTGCACCGAATATGCCACTATATATATATATAACCAATAATTAAATAGGTTTTACATACCATTATTTTTTTCCTGAGATTAGAAATGTAACATATTTCTCCATTCCGATTAAATTTTCCAACAAATAAAACCATAGCATTAGGACGTACATTATTCTAACCAGCCTATATAATTATTTATCAGAGTATTTTATTTTCCAAAAAATTATGGTGGTATATTGTTAATAAATGGTATAAAACTCGTAATTGAATCGGTTGGAACCAAGGGGGTTCTTGACACGCGGTATTAGAGTTTTCAATAATCGAGATATCTTGTGTTTGAATTTCAAATACGTCATTTGGTAAGTACTTGTACTTGATATTCGAACATTTACGTACAAACTTTAAGTTCACAAGTAGGCTTTCGTTTGAGAGATCGTTTTGATAAAGGATTTAAGATCCATAATTGAATATCTGTCAACTACTCGAGTTATTTGAATCAACATGCTATTGACACGTATTCTCTTAATCTCAAGGTTAAACTAAAGTCAAAGTTCCTTCGTTGAATTTGATAGTTACATACACGTGCATGCATGGGCCCCTGTTCTGATACTGAAGATGGCTGACACATACATATATATATATATATCATTAATTGTACAAATTGTTATTAAAAGATATTTTCGAAAGGAAATTAATAGCTAGATATACCAACTCTTAACTCTTTTTAGACAATTGTCAGAAGATAAATAAGAGAAAGGGATGATGGTTGATAAATTTGAGTTACATTTAATTTCTTAATTTTTCTCCAATTTTACATATTTGTTCAATTATTCGGATGGATCATTGTAGGAAGTTTATATATATATTTTCTTCCCCTCGGAAGATATTTGTATTATCAAGAGATCAAATGTACACTCTTTTAGAAACTGAGAAAACACCACATGAACGGATATCCAACCCCGCAACAAGCGAAAAAAGCGAACGAAATGACTTTTTTTTTACTACGCGATGAGCCACTCTACTGTAGTCACGATCAATGAAACCGTCAAGAATGAAAATTTAAATTTCACAACAAGAGAGGAAGTTGACGAAACACAGTTTTGTAAGCTATATAGTGCGCATTATTAGTTATGTATGCGTATTATTTGTTATGTGTGTGAATGTGATCTAAGTGAAAGGAATTTTAAGACGGTGGTGATGATGCTGAGCAAGGGAGTATGTAAATAGAGTGGTTAAAGGGGCCACCAAACCACACGACTGCAACATTTGGCAGCCATTCTTGTTGGCTCTTTTTTCTTCATCTTCTTCTTCTTCTTCCTTATTGTCATCTCCCTCTCTCTCTCTCTCTCTCTCTCTCTCTCTCTCTACCTCTGACTTTGTCCCGATTTGCCTCATTTTCAATCCTACTACTGCTACTGGAACTCCACATTTCCTCTACTACGTATACGTATTGTGTTGGTCAAGTGTGATTCTTTGTGGGATGGACCTTCTAGAAAGAACACCCTTTTTCCCCCAAAAAATTCAGCCACAAGCTATATACCAAATGTGTGTGGTCGTCATCCATTCGAAAACCCTAGCTAGGAAGAAATACAATGCAATCTATATACTTGAAATTTGAGCAAATTCACCTACCATGTGCTACCGATTAATGTTGGAGAGTCTAAGAACTTTAACGTGTCACCTCAAAGACAAATCAACTTTGATACGTACTATATTATGAGTCAACTGGTTCCAATAATTTGAATTGTTGAGAGAAATTGTATTAATCATTGTCTTAGGAGTGATATGATAACATAGTTTTCTTTCTTTTGTTAGTAAATGGTGTATGATTCACGATTGAAAATCTCCCAACAACTCGAGTTATTGGGATCAACTGATTTTTTTACACGGGATCAGAGCCTTTTGTGACCGAATGTTTCGTATTCGGGATCCGATGACAACATCTGTTAAGTTAAGTACATGGTATCTGGACCTGTGCAAACTTCAAATCCATATATGGTGACTTTCGTTTGTAAATAATATATGGTTCACGATGGAACATCTTCTATGGATTTTTTCGAGTAACATAAGAGGAAAGAAATTTCTGCAGTACTCTTCCTGTATATGCATGATTCGTCTTTATCATTGGCATATATATGATGATAATGTTAATTAACTGGCCGGGTTGGTAAGAAGATATATAGTGAAAGGATCGTTTAGCTTAGCAACTATTTGGAGATACTTCCACACGCATACAGCCAGCCTTTTCTCAAGCTCCCTTCATCATTACATTACTACTGCTGCAAACGTGCAACTTCTCAATGAGGTTTCGAGCTCATTTTCACACATTTAAGCACATTAAGAAATACTCTAATTAAAGATTAGAAGGTAGAGCAACTACAATCAGTATTAATATAATGGGCTATAATATTAATATTAATATTGTTTACCCATAAAAAATAAGCTTGTACCACATCAATTAAATACAAAATAATTAATGGATTTATAAGGCCAGTTCAACATTAATAATTAAAAAAGCTAGCTGGACCTTGTTGGGTTGGGTTTTTGGGCCTAAGTGTCCAAACCCCTTCTCTCCTATGCGATGGCCGACCCGTCTCCTTGGCCCCCATGGCCCATAGTCGATGCCTCCCAAACGACCGGGTACCAAGTAAAGGGGGTCAACGACGGGGTATCAAGCTGGCAAAGCAGGGGGGGGGGGGGGGGGGTACCAAGCCAGCAAGGCATACCTTGTGCTAAGACATATGAAAATTGGTTAAGTATGGAATCACATGGCCAGAGGGTACCAAGCCGACAAGGCAGGGCTTGGTACCAAGACATGAAAAAACATGGACATGAAAAAACATGAATTTGGCTAAGTATGGAGCCAAAGGGGTATCAAGCCGACAAGGCATGCTTGATACCAGAAGACATGAAAATTGGCTAAGTATGGAATCCCATGGCCAGGGGGCCATACCACCCATATCAAGAGGGTACCAAGCCGACAAGGCAGAGCTTGGTACCAAGACATGAAAAGCATGA